ACTGCCTATGTTCTCCTCTAGGATTTTGATGGATTCCTGTCTCACATTGAGGTCTTTCATCCCCTTTGAGTTTATCTTTGTGAATGGTGTTAGAGAATTCTCTAACACCATTCACAAAGATAGGTTCATTAATTCTTAATGAAATATAGATCATTTGAACCAAAGAATCATTTCATGAACTCAGGAGTTAGACATGCATAGAAAATAAATGGGGGAAAGGATAGATTCCTCATCCAGTGTCAAATGAAGAAGTAGAAATGCAAGACAGAGGACAAACCTTGGGATATCCATCATCAGGCTAACCCATCCCCCCACCCCCTCCCCTCTAGAACCCTCAGTTTGTTTCTCAGAGTCCATAGTCTCTCATGGTTCATCTTCCCCTCTGATTTCCCCCCCTTCATTTTCCCCTTCCTGCTATCTTCTTCTTTTTTTTTTAACATACACTGTATTGTTTCAGAGGTACAGGTCTGTGATTCAAGAGTCTTACACAATTCACAGCACTCACCATAGCACATACCCTCCCCAATGTCTATCACCCAGCCACCTCATCCCTCCCACCCCCCACCACTCCAGCAACCCTGTTTGTTTCCTGAGTTTAAGAATTCCTCATATCAGTGAGGTCATATGATACATTCTTCTTTTACTAGTTCATTGGTGTAAAGTTAGATTATTTATTTGAGATCTTTAATTTTTTGAACGTAGACATTTATTCTTATTAAATTCTAACTTAGTACTGCTTTTGTTGTATTCCATAGGCTTTAGTTTGATGTGTTTTCATTATTCTTTTTTTAAATTTTATTTTATTATTTTATTTTAATCACCATACATTACATCATTAGTTTTTGATGTAGTGTTCCATGATTCATTGTTTGCGTATAACACACAGTGCTCCATTCAATACGTGCCCTCTTTAATACCCGTCACCAGGCTAACCCATCCCCCCCCACCCTCCCCTCTAGAACCTTCAGTTTGTTTCTCAGAGTCCATAGTCTCTCATGGTTCATCTCTCCCTCCAATTCCCCCACTTCATTTTTCCCTTTTTAATTAACATATAATGTATTATTTGCTTCAGGGGTACAAGTTTGTGATTCATCAGTCTTACACAACATCCAGCACTTACCACAACACATACCCTACCCAATGTCCATCACCCAACCACCCCATCCCCTCTACCCCCTCCCCAGCAACCCTCAGCTTGTTTCCTAAGATTAAGAGTCTCTTATGATTTGTCTCCCTCTCTGGTTTTGTCTTGTTTCACTTTTTTTTTTCCTCTCTTCCTCTATGATCCTCTGCCTTGTTTCTTAAATTCTACATATCAGTGAGATCATATGATATTTGTCTTTCTTTTATTGACTTATTTCACTTTGCTTAATACCCTCTAGTTCCATCCACATCATTGCAAATAGCAAGATTTCATTTTTTGATGGCTGCGTAATACTCCATTGTATATATATACACCACATCTTTATCCATTCATCTGTCGATGGACATCTGGGCTCTTTCCATAGTTTGGCTGTTGTGGACATTGCTGCTATAAACATCGGGGTGCAGGTGCCCCCTTTGGATCACTACATTTGTATCTTTGGGGTA